GCCCTTGAAAATAAACTAATGAGCCAACTAGACGACCAGACTCTTCTTAACTTCTTAATGGGTACTCTAGAGAATAACTTGACGCTGAACTTCTATTTGCAGAGGGACTTAGGCGGGTGTAGTGGCATACATCTATAATCCCAGAACTCCAGAGGCTGAGGCAGAAGGACAGCTGTGAGTTCAAGACCAGCATGAAATATACAGTGAGACCCCATCTCAAGAACAAAACAAAATAAAGCTCCATAAAGCACAAAGGGACTCGAGCAGCCCATCCCTGTGTGAATGGAGCCCCCCAACCCCCCCAACCATAGCCAGCCTGTCAAGAAGGCCAAGAGACACTCCTCCTCCTTTCATCTTCAGACTCTAAAGATTGTGGGTGTCTCACATTCTGACATTATCTCATTGTATAGAATCATAACAAGGTACTTTATCTCTCATTTCTGGATAACTGCTGACTGGATTCTGAATTAATGTAGAACTTGGGGGCTTTTTATTTCCCCCATCAAAGTTCCTACCCTTACTCTATTTCAAAGCACTGCCAAAGTCTTCTTCTTACAGCATAATGATTCCATCCATTTATGAAACATCTAGACAGTGCTTCTCTGGTTGTCAGACTAGCTTGGGAAAGTTTACTGAATCTCTGGTAAGGCATAATCTTAAAGAACTTTTTGCAGGATTTCCCAATCAGAAGTAGAGAGACTCCTAAAGCTTTTCTATGGGTTTTAGGACTGTTATAAGCCTCCCGAATTGTTGGTATATTTGCATGTATATGAGTACTGAGGAGGAGGAAGTAAGCTCCAGTAGATCTAGAGCAGGTTAAGAAGTACTGACCCCTTCAGCTTTATCGCATGAAATATTTTCACTAGTATGCTAGTGTAATCACTACTGGCTTATTTACCATTTTCTGGGCCTCTTGTAGGTGCCTATATTATCTCATAACAACCTTCCAATTTAGATCTGTTTATTAGCTTTATTAATGAAACTACTGAGGTGGTATAATTTGGTCAAGGTCGGTTCAACTGACCTAGGTGAAGTCACTGCTTTTGTAAGATGGGAGAGCATACAGCAGCAATTCTCTTAGGAGTTTTGCGTCTTAATTTTCTACATTTTTTTTTTTTTAATCACAGAAAATACCTTTCCTGGAGTTGCTAGTTTCTGGATGGAATGGAAGGCCAGCCCCCAATCTCCACCATAAACTGGGCCAGGGTTCTGCCTTGATGGGTGGCCCATTGCCTTAGGTTTCAGCCCAGGAGGGAGATAAGGGAAGACTGCTGATATATTGAGTGTGGTGGATCAGTCTGGCTACAACTCCGGTGGCTGCTCTGTGCAGAAATGCCAGCACAGACTGTTGGCCCAGCACTTCCAGCAAATGAAGACTAAAGCCAAGGAAGCAGAAACACCTAAAACCCTCATTAGTCTGGAGCATAAAGTAGAAGAACTTGTAAATACAAGAATCCAGAAATGGGAGGTCCAGGTTCTAGCCCATGTTCTGCCCGTGGGATGACTGGAAAAATCTTCTTGCTTCCTTTACCTCAGTTCCCTTATCTGAGAAATGAGGATATTGAATCTTGTGATTTCAGAGTCACCTTCCACCACTCTGTAGCAGGGTCATTTACTCAGGCTTCAATTTTTGATATGCAGTGGTACCTCAGTTCCAGGACTCTGGGGAAGATGGCCGCATTCATGTTCATTCAGGCAAGGTGGCTGCCATCAAGTTTGTCACCTGATGCAGAGTTCACAACCAGAAGCAATATTTTACCCAACGCTTCTGTCCACAAACCAAATTGTTCACAAACAGGAGCATTTATGAATGAAGGCACTACTATATTTTGAACATGTATTCCAAAAGTATTAGAATTATTTGAACATTAATTCCAACATATTAGAATGATTAATCAAATTTCACGTAGACTTCAAGGTCACAAACAGACTCTGGGAGGATACTTTATTTATAAATCATCTGATTTATAAAAAGGCACATAGAAGCTTAATAGGAGACATTATTGATGAAATCACCAGAAAAAGAGCAGGGCGTATCCAGGGTAAGCAATTTATGATGATGGATTATCAACAAGCTTATCTCCTGTCAATTCGAAAAGCTTTCTGACTGCTCACTTTTCATTTCCAAGCTTTGAACTCAAATAGCTCTTCACAGAAACAATTGCACTAGACAAGTTAATATAATTGCTTTATGATGCCTAGTGCTCACTGCTTCCCTTTCCTGATCTCCAACTTTATCCAATGCTGCTGTGAGGACAGGGACGGTCATGTATCAGGCATTTGCAATGGGTCATACACTGCAGAAGTTATCTCACTCATGCCATCCCCTGTGATACTCTAAACAACCTCGGCAAACAGTTTTTCAGAGTCTCATTTTATTTGTGAGAAAACTGACCCCCAGAAAAGTTAAGCAGATCACAGAGTTACAGAGGACTGAAACTGGAGTTAGGAAGAGTGAGTGTCAGTGGTTCACCAGAAACTAAATACAGGTGATGCTCAGACTTACTTCTTTGGCCCAGGGTGAGCTACTGATTTCCTCACTGATCTCTCACTACCTTCAGTGTTATGGCTCAACTCACACTGAGATTCTCACTCCCTGTACATTTCCATGTGACCTCATTTGGAGGGAAGGTCTTTACAGAGATAAACAACTTACAATGAGACCATGAAGGTGGACCCTATCCAATGTGAGTGCTGTCGACATAAAAAAAATGGAGAATGTGGTCACAAAAACACATGCGTATCCAAGAACACCAAGTAAAGATGAAGGTGGATCCAGGTAAAGCCCAGGAACAGCAAATATGGCCAGGAAACCACCAGAAGTTAGGAGAGAGGCAGAGACAAAGCCTCATTTACATTCTTAGAGGAAACTAACCCTGTCAATACTTTGATCTCAGAATCCAGGCCTCCAGAACCGTGAGTCTATGAACTTCTAAAGCTTAAGCCACCCAGTTTGCAGTGCTTTGTTACAGTAGCTCTGGCAAAATGTGACACCCAGGTAGTGGACATCAAAGGCAATAATAGCAACTTCCACAGGCAGGACAGTCTCATACTGAGTGCAAAGCTCTTTCTTTCCATGTGTTCCCGAGGCACCCGTCACAACCCCAAAAGGGAGTAAGGAAAGGCACATATGTTCTCCCCAACTTCAAAGATAAGTAAGGGGAAGTTCAGAAATTTGGGGGTACTTCAGAGAACCGTAGCCAAACTGGGAACCAATTGCAGAACCAAAACTCAGACCTGAGGATACCTACCTCTGGGTCCAGTCTTAATCTCCCTGCATAATGCTAATTCCCTCAAGAACAGGGACATGTTCCCTGACATATCAACATTGCTGTCCATCTTTCTGCCTAGTAACTTCTGTCATTATAACCTGAAGGCTGTTCAGAGCCTTGAGCCTTCTCTGTAGTGGAGCCTAGAGAAACTGCAACAACTCTTGCTTTTCAGAGGACTCTCCTCGTAGAAGAGCCTTTTAGGGATGGAGGTCTATGTTTTTGTCTGGCCAAGGAAGATGTGGAAAGGAGTTTACCCAGAGCAATGACTCACGATGCAGCATGCATTTATAACCCCCTGACAAACTGCGTGCACTGTACTGGGCCTTGGAAAATGAAAATGGTCAAGACAAGCTCTCATCCTCAGTGACTCCTAACGAAGGAGAGAGCGACACAGAAAGAGAATCTCCCAGAGCCACACTTCGCCCAGCTGATGGTTCAGAAGAGACTTCTAGGAAGAACTGATGCGAACGGAGTGCCCTCCTGAACCCTCTCAAGTGCACTAAAAATCACACAGATCCCTTGAAGAACAAAAACTTCAGAAGGTTCCTCACCCACCATGCAGACTGACAGGAAGTCAAACACATACTTTCCAAATTTTATAACTCCTTTCCTGCTCTCCAAAATCGTTCTCAGTCCCACCCCAGGGATGGTGGGGAACTTTTCATATCCTATCAAACTCTTCAATACATTCCATGTTTGGATGTTGCTATGGTTTATCTCTGGGGTGTACCCACAAAGCCTCATATCTTTGGAAGGTGATTGGATCTTGGTGGATCTGTAGCTGACTTATTGTTAGGAGATGGAGCCTGGTTGGGGGTGGGTCACTATGGGTGTGACTTGGAAGGATGTACCTCCCTCCCTACTTCCTCATTTTACTCTCTGTTTCCAGGTCCCCATGACACGAGTGGCTCTCCCACTGCCCCCTTTGCTATTCTGTTTCTGCCTTGGAGCCCACCAATTATAGACTGGAACCTCTAAAAATCTGTGAGCTCAAAAAGACTTCTTTTAAGTTGTGGCTATTGGGATATTTTCTCCCAGCAACAAGCAAGTGACTAAGACAGTCTACATTTCTAAGCACTATCTATGTTCCGGAATCTTTGGAACATAGTACATTCCATATTTGACCCCATCTAATTTCCATTTTATAGATGAGTAATCTTAGAAAGGTTAGGTAATCCATAGCAGCAAAAGTGGCAATGAATGAAAATTTTCTACACAATATCCACTCTACCTCCTCTTTTCTAAAAGATGACAATTTCTTTAGGGTAGTAAAACTCTCAGCTAAAAATTACATTTCCCAAACTCTTCATAAACAACACACAAGGCACATAACATAGTCTTCTGGAGGAAAGGGAGCCTATAAAGCTCTTTAAAAGAGTCTGAATGAGTGAGCACATGTTATTACACCCATCATTTTTCTCCATGTTTTCTAATTATAACAAGAATGTGATGGCTGGTGCTTCTGCAGCCATTCTGAAACCAAGATGGGTCATACACACATAAAGGATTGCTAAACAGTGTACAAAGACCTAAAGTCACCATTGACATGTATGTGTAATGTGCCAGCAATAGACTGCTTGCCTCCATATTTGTCATTGTTTAATAGAAAAGTGGACTTATGTTGTATATGCAGCCAATTTTGTTTTTCTCTAATTTTTAATAGAAATCATTTCCAGAAAAAATACACTGAAATGTGTCAGTGGTAAAATATCCAAAATTCATACCTACTGAGGTCTTTCCTTGAAGATCTGAGAGTGAGAGACAGGCCAGTCACACTTTCAGAGTGTAACATTAGACAAGGAAGGAACTGGACACAGAAAGCAGTGTCCTGGGTGGGACAGAGGGAGACAAGTTGTGCTTGGAGACACCAACCAGGACTCTGTTCTGGCTCAGCCACTAGGTGATCACGATCTTGAGCGAGGCACATCCTGTCTTTTGGTCTGAGATTTTTCATCTTTATAATGAGAAGCTTGGGCTGGAACAAAGAAAGAGAGACAACTAATTTCTGAACCAGGTTCAACAGGGAGCCTCACACCCACAGTGGTCATAAGTAAGGTTCTTAGAGCCTCTGTTTTCACTCCGAGACCAATACTCCTCCAACTGTCTTGCCCCTTCCACCATTCCCACCACAACGGGGAGGTGCACATGAAGTCCTCCTCACTGTGTGAAGTGCTCCCCATGTGCGTGTAGTCCTCCCTGTGTGTGTGAAGTTCTCGCCATGTATGAAGTCCTCCCCATGTGTATGAAGTTCTCTCCATGTGGGTGAAGTCCACCCACATATATGAAGCCTCTCTGTGTGTACAAAGTCCCCCTTCAGTCAAGAGGCTCTCCTCACTCCCATTCAGCCCTCACCATGTTTCCCAAGGGCTCACACTCAAGTCCAGCCAAAGCTAGTAAATTAAATGGTTCTGCTCACATGAGGCTGTAAAATAGCATTTTCTATCTGACGAGTCCAAAGAACTTCACAAAATCACATTTTCTTTCTTAAGTGTTCCGAGAAACAGCTAGTTCCCTTTGAAATGTAGAAATTTATTGCCAGCAGCCACAATAAGATTTTTGAGCTCTGAGTTCTCTTTATATTTACAACAACACAAAACTATAAAACAATTGTATGCAGATTGTAGGACAAACAAAAAAGCATGAAGCTAGGCATCCTTGGATCAGCGCAGTTGATAAATGCCACATGTTCTTACACTGTTGGCAGAAAAAGCCACAGATTTGCTTGTCAATGTCCTTGACACTAAGCCAAACACGGTCATAATGTCAGAGACACTTACTTATTGAAGGTCACAGTGACCCAGCAAACTTGTACCCAAGTCAACCACAAAATATAGGACCTCAGACTCGTTTCTCAGCACTAAATTTTACCCCCAGTGAACCCGCTGACAGTCCCTCATAGGCAAGACAAACAAGAAGCTGAAAGACAAGACTCTCCCCAGTGACTGGAAAAGCAGAGCTTTTCACCCAACAAATACTGAGCAGGTCAAGCCATCACAGATTGAGCTTGTTTGCAAAACTTGGTGCCTTAGCTAATAGGGGCAACCATATAATGACAAAGTTATGTGAAGCACAGCAGCAGAGGGATGTAGCTCTGTGATTTGGCCCTTTCCTAGTATGTGTGAGGCCCTGGGTTCAATTCTTAGCACTACAAAAATTTTTTTTATAAAAGAGGCAGAGGATGGGTGTTCAGAAATGCTGCAATAAAGAATATCACAGAAAGGAAAGTTGGAGGTGCTGTGCAATCACTGTCTTGAGGAAAGCCATGAGAATCTAGGCTAGGATTTGTGGATGGGTAGCCTAATGCTACCACCATTAGCTTTGTGGGGTTCTTTTTACTATGAATCCATTCTCAACAAGCAAACTTCTGATTAAGATTCAGCTCTTGTTGGGGGGTGCCTTCCCCAGGAGGAGGCAGTTCTGTCACACAGAACTTTGCGGTCCACTCCCAGAGGCTGTGGTCCTTCCCTGAGACTCCACAGTGGTGTGCATCAACCTTATGAGCTTGGCTAGTATGAGTCTGCCCTGGGAGAGTAGATACTTTGAGTGCTAATAAACTCAGGTCTGAGATTATATAACTGAGGGCCAGACAGTAGACCACAGTTAATTCTCCAAGAGAAAAAACACATCATTTCATTATTCCTGGAGAATAATGAGCCTGTGGTTCCTCTGGACTCCTGTGCCCACTTGCCTTGTGTTTGAATTTGCACAGGATTCAGCATGAAGAAAGCTTAAGCCCCTTGGCAGTCTTTAGCTTCTTGCCTGTATTCCTTGTTTGGGTAACCCCCACAGACTACCTTGGGTCTGGCTACCAGGGGTACACGCTGCTTCTAAAAACTCACGCTACCTCAGTTCTTGCATATCGATGTAAAAAATCATTACATCTCAAACAACCAAATTGCTAGTGCTTTACATTTATTACGCACATCACCCACAGGCAAATTTGAAAATTATAGCTCTTCTCGGGTATTTTATACTAGATTTCAAACAGCCCAGCCCAGCGTGAAACCATGGGGAACTAAAATGAGGACGGAGGCAGGAGGCAGAGCAGGATTGACTTTGTCTTCTGATTCATTGTGATGAAAAATGATTTGAGAGACACGACTAGAATGACAATAAAGTGGCTCATTGGCCTGATCGCCTGTTGTTCATAAACAGATAATAGTGCTGCCAAGAGCTTATGAGACTTAAGCCAGCTTGTGATGACCAAACAGGAGTAGTAGAGCTGTTTTCATTTGGGGATTCAAACACATCCCTAAGCTAATGTCCATGCCAATAAAATACTAAAAAATAAGTAAGTAGAATAAAGGAAGAATTCACAGCACACTCAGTGGCAGAGCAGTATCAGTAAGATGACAGAACAGCACAGAGCTACTAGCCTTTGAGAATTTAGTTCTGCAGCAACTTCCCCTTAAAGGGCCATGGCTGGGCACCTGCCAACCCCTAATCGGGAAGCACATTCTAAACTTCCTCAACATCTGCCGTGACCTTTTCTCTTTGCACCTACCTCATCTTCTTATTTTGCAAATATTCACCTAGGGGTCGCTTCTTTCCTAGTTGCTGGCCAGTCTAAGGGAGGGGCTGGGTCTCTTTCATCCATTTCCCTTGAGGTATTGGCTTCATGTATTCACCTTACTGGTGCTCAGAAAAATAAAGAAAGAAGGTGCAGGAGAAATGGTGGTGCAGCAAGATTCTCTCATGCATTTATAGTATTTTGCAGTTTCTCAAGTCATTTTACAGATCTGATCCCATCTGAACTGCCCAAAGCCCTGGAGATTCACCAAAACTATGACCCTTTACTTAGGACAAAGATCTTTTTATCTTTTACAGGCATTATTTTCATAGCTCTTCTCTAAAACGGGAATTATATTGGTCTTTACCCGATAAAGCTGCCACAAAAGCTAAATATAATAAAACACTTGATTAATGTATGTAAAAGTCCTCACAACAGAGCCCAGCACATGGCAAAGGCTACATATGTTTGTTGTTTCTATCTGATTTAATCTGGATTCAAGAGACTAGGACCTAAACGTTCTGTTTTCCCACCCAGGGTCCCCATGGTACCTTCAGGACACTGGCTTGCTGTGAACTAGGGAGGGTCAGCGCAAGCTGCTTCCTGTTGCAGCCCATCTGTGTCACAAATGTTTGGAGTGGACATTGTCCATGAGCACTGTCTACCATGCCCGTCTATCCTCCCACCTTCCCAAACAACTCCTCTTCCTCCTCCAGAGTCCTCACTTCCCTTCCAGAGGAGAGAGAAGGCCATCTGCTCCTGAGGCTCACAGCTACTCTGAATTTTACCAAATAGCTACTTGCTCTCCATGTAGAGGTAGGGCAAGTGAAGTCCAGAATGCACAGAACTGTCTGCATGCTCTCTACTGGAGAAGAGTGTTAGACCAGGTACCTTAGAAGCAGATAGGCTCATAGCAGCCAGGAGGGGCTCCTGGACATGGTGCCAATGTTGACACCAAGTGATCCAGTCCCAGAGCCAGAGGGCAGAAGGCATAGCAAACATGAACAAGCATGGCTTACACATCCTACTCACCAGAGCTGTCCTGTGTGCTGTCTGTACTGTGAATTCTTCCTCTGATTCTGAAAAGGTTAAAAATAAGGAAAATGTAAAACCATTGGACAAAAGGCAAACTCAATGTCCTCGAGAATCTGAATACTGATACTTGTTGATGGGTTTATTCTAACATGATGGAACCCTCTCTCCATTCTCCCACCCAGGCATCCTCTTGGAAGGCTGTCGTCAGATGCCACGTCCCATTAGGTCACTCTCAGAACCCAGTAAATCATCGCTCTTCTCTGGGAAGGAACTCCCACAACTTTCTCTCCTTTCTCAGAACCTTTAGTGCGTTCTGCCTTGTTACAAGTTCTTAGTCTCTATGTCTTGTCTTCTTGACCTCAAACATCATTCCATCCTGCAGAATTAACTTTGTTCTCCTGGGGGCCAAGCCAGCCCCTTCTACATGCATTTCCCTCATTTTCTCTTGGCTTTTTGCTAACCTGCCAGCCCCCAGCTGCTTCCTCATCCACTGCTGCTGAATTCCAGTAGGCCAGAGAGGCGGTTTTTCATTCCTGTGTGCCCAAAGCCTCATGCCATGTTAGTAATCATTAACTGAATTCCGTGAGAAGTGAGGTTTAGTCATCTCAAAATGTTCCTGGCACATAGAAACTTATTTATTATATGTTAATACAATGGAAAATCTGAACTAGTGACAATTTCTAAGGAAGTAAGCCTTCATTATTTTTCAAATTTATAGAACAATGCTTATCAAGAAGTAGAGAACAATGAGTGGGAGGAGGGATTCTTGGAAAAGTTTTGGTCCAGAATAGTCATGTTTTAAAACCATATTAGTTGTACAACTACCAGTCCTTAAAGGTTTGTTTGTTAGATTTGCAATATGAAGTTTAAACCTAGGGATTTAGCACTATTTAAGCTATATTTTCAGCCCTTTTAAAATCTATTTTCATTTTTTAACTTTGAGACAGGGTCTTGCTAAGTTACAGAATTTCCCAGGCAGGGCTAAACCATGTGATACTTCTACATCAATCCCATAGAGTGCTGGGATTACAAAGGCGCCACCACACCTGGATAAGTCCTCAGGTTTTAAGTCGAAGACTGGACATGGCATTTGAGCTCTGTGTCTCGTTCAACTCACACCCAATGCTTGAACATTTATCCTACACATGAGCACCTCTAAGAATAAGAAAAACACAAGTTTCTTAGGCAACTCACTCACATTTTAGGCTACTACATTAGAAAGTCCTCCCTGTATCCTTCCATCATTAAAGATAATGATTAAAAGGAAAGTGTGGCCCAAATATAAGGGCAAGTAAAACAAAACACAAAAGTGGACACACATGGCATGAACGTACCCATGAAAAATATTCAAGGCTGTAAATCAGTGGAAGAAAATGCATTGAAATTGTAATCCATGCCTTCTTTTCCTTATTAAACATCACTAAGGTCCTACTGCTGTGGGTTTTCTAAGCACTATGGATATCAAATGAACAGGTTAGATTAGCCCTCATGATTGAGTTGTGGTGATGGACTTGGGGTGATTGTTGTTTATTTTCTCTATCTCCTCTAGTTTCTGACCTAGATTTATGTTACTAGTTAAAACCTTATAAGACTTAAGAAGTCCTTCCTTTGCTGAAAGTGCATGAAAAGAATTTTGTGTTTCTTGAATTGTGGAGACTTTAGATAGTGTATTGTGCCAATAGCTCTTCTCACAGAGAGAATGCTGAGCTTCTGTTAAGGAAGAAATTATCAATTGTGTCAATGTAAGTGTGATGTGTCCACAGTGAACTTACCTCCAAGTCAATACTTTCCACTGATCTCAAAGAATACAACAGCTACACAATTCTCAGGCTGGAAAGGATTTTTCAATTTTTTATTTATATTACCCCAGTTAAGAGCAGATCTTGCTTAAGAAATCAGAATATTATTATAATAAAACTTCAGACTGATCTGAACCCTTCAGCAGTATCTGTGACAATGTTCATTTGATATCATTTAGAAGTCCTCTAAGGACAAACTGTATGATGGATTTGATGAAATTATTGCAAAACAAAAGTTTGGTTCTTTAAAATTTCCAATAACAGCCCATGCTAGGTAATTCTACAACTCAAGTGGCTTTTCCCTAAGTGTCTAGTTTCTGTGGGTGGAACTAGGTTGTGATGCACATGAGTATTTGCCTCCATCGATATCCAAAGTGGTCAGCATACATTACTTTGGATTTTTGTCTTCCCTGTAATAAGGCCACAAGTAATAAATGACACCTCTTACAGGAAAGGCTTACAAGAAGACAATAACCAATCAAACTAAAGTCTCTTTGCCTAGACAGACAGTACAGAGTTTGCAGAAGTCTGATGATACAGTCTGAGAAGCTGCAGTTGAAAATCCTTGAAAATCAATACAAATATTATACAAATTTTAAATTCACCAGTAATGGAATTCATTCAAACATCATTACTGACCCATGCTGACAGTTTCAAAATTGAAGTCTTCTTGCGATTGCTGGAGTGAATAAAAGTTGCCCCAGGAGCTACCTGCTTTTGAAACATTTATAGCGTATGTTCTCACAGCAACTTGGTGTCAGAACCAATAGCGTTCTTTGACACAGAAAGCTTTTAAAGAGACAACATAGATAGTATAGGGAGAGGCATCTTCTCCCCATGGCCTGATAAGATTTTTAACATTATTTTCACTCACAGAGGATTTCTTGCTGACAACCACAGTGTGTCTCAGAGTCTTGTTCCAAAGTTCATAAAATTTTTGCGACTCCAGGCTCCTGTCCCCTCTCTTTATTGCATTATAAGACCTAAAGGTTGCTGGACAAGATCACAGCTATCCTTAGCAAACATGCTTGTCATGGACAGGGGGGAGCAAAATTCAAAAGCTCATTTGCTTGAAGTGTGTTCTATTCAATGTAGGGTGCTGTGATTTTTTCTTTATAATTTTTTTTATCCTGTGGCAATTTCTTGCCTCAACTGCGTTATTAAAAATGATTAATATAACTCAGTCATACTTGCACAGGAAAGCTTTCAACCTACTTGGAAATTAAATAACTATTTCCTATTGATGGCATTTCCTTTGAAATGAAAGTTCCTGAAGTGGATGTACCTGGGAGAATTCTAACTCATAAGAATTGAGGAGAGTATTAATTGTTCTTTTGCTATTTACAATAACAGTGTCATACTGTGGAGCATGTTTTCCATAAAAGTCCTGAGGAATAGCTATAAAAAGGTATCTCCCCTTTATGAGGAAGGGCTAGAGAGAATCGAGATGGAAAAGATCAAATCTATTTCACAGAAGCCCGGATGAATGTTTTTTTGTGTTGTTGTTTTTTCTCAGATTCTCTCCGAAATTGATCTGCACTGTGAAAACAGCAGAACATTTGACACTTGAAATAAATCTCTTATTAAGCCAAACTGGCTTTTCCGTTGTTCTTCTAGCAAGTTTTTAGCTTCTGACTTGCTTTTCTAGAATCCAGCAAAAAAAGAATCTTCCTTCCATCCAGTGAGTAAGGAGTACCGTGTAAGATAGAAAATTCAGTGGTTTAGTTCTCAGCCATGACCCCCCGCTGCTTAGGATTTGTAATTCTCTGAGTCTCAGCTTCCACCTTTGGGAAACAGGATTCTCATTCCACCACTTTATAATAAGGCACAAATATGCTAATAAACACAAAAGATGTGACATAAGCTGTAAAGCGCACCCAGGTTCCCCAAATCGAACTTGATTGCAGCCTTCTGTCTTATAATTTGCCTTCATACAGGTATGTCTCTGTAATGTGAGGCCGAGTCTCACCAGTTTCCTTGCCAAATAACAGGTCTTTTTGTTAATCTCTTTAAAGGGCTTAGATTTGCATAATACTAGGCAATGTACAAAGGAGAAAAATGTGAAAACTCAGCTTCACATCAGAGAACAGAGATCCAAGCATTTTATTAGATGATATCACCTTGAGTAACACCAGTACTGGTCACACCATCACTAGCTAACCCCAGAAGGGGTTGTCAGTCTTCGCTGTGGATCTACCTGGAAGTAATAGTGAAATCCATGCACACTCATGCACGTACCACAGCCTCCCCCAAGGCACACAGACAGAAAGCACTGGAGATTCAATAGACCAAGGGAAAAACAAGGCAGACCACGGACGACAGTAAAATGAAGGAAAAGGATGTTGCTGTAGTTGTGAGAGTTAATAAATCAGAAAAATGGAAAGAAGGGAAAAATGAACAAAATAAAGGGAAATCAGGGGTAGAGTTAGCACTCACAAAGCACCCCCTAATGCTCTGTATATTGTGATATGGGTCCCAAAGTCCTGTGCATTCATCTGCAGCTTCCTGCTATGCCAAGTTTTGAGAAGAACGTCAAAGGAACACAATCTACAAATCCCAACCCATGTCTATGAGAGGAACACTCGAGCTTCCAGACACAGCACAACCTATCTCAGAATTGAGATGGAAATTTTTATCCTGTGGGCCTCTGTAAAGGGCACACTGATATGAACAATATCTACACACTTCAAGTACATAAAATGCTTTGATTATGACGGTGTTAGACAAAGCAGTTCTGAGTGGCCGAAACCATGCTTTTAAGTCAGAATATCTGAGGTCCTAGTGCCTAGGAATCTCCAAAGCACTTACTAGCTGTGAAAATTTGGACATATTGATATAGCAGAAAGAAACTCACAATCCGCTAGATATTTGGGACAAGATCGTGTTCTTTAAAATCGAAGAGTGAATTTTAGGAATAAATGAGATTAAGAGCAGAATACTTTTATCAGGGGAAAGAAAGCTTCTGTCTGAGGGAGAGACAGAAGGGGACCCGAGTGGGTTGCCAAGGAACCTGCCTTTTTTACAGATTTTTATAGAGCAAAACCACAAGGTGAATCGGGTCCAAGTAGGGCAACATGAGAACTCACAAAGTGGGCATGAGGTAGGACAAAACTATGGTCAACTAATAAGACTGCAGTCATAATCGCTCAGGTAAAATTGATTATATCAGGATCAAATGGGGAAGCCAGTCACACAGCAAGCTGGCGTGAACACAGAACAGAGGCTTTCCTGTAGGTGGTTGAGTTAGTGACTCTTCCTGGATTTTTAAGATGATAGAGACCTATTTAGAATATCAATCCCTGATGTTTATCCTTAGGGAGGTCTGTGGGTGCATTTGTTTTATCTTTTGCCCTGAGGTCTGGCCCACAGCAGAGGTGTCTCTCTTCCCACCCTTGCAAGGTATCTGAGCTTCCACACTGGCTCCTTTGAGGGCTTAGCTCTATCTGACTGCCTGTAATATTTCTATATAACTCAGCTGCCTACAACAGTAGTATATAACTCTTTTGGTTTGCAAGTTTACAGCCAAGAAAGAGGAGTGATACTATTTATCCTGATATGATTTCTAGGGAAAAAATTTTAATTAGCTGGTATATAGCAGGCACTCAATAAATGTAGGCTGCTCTCCCTGGGCAACTGCCCAGGAAATCTGATGTGAACCCATGCAGCCCCTGTGGTAAAAGGGAGGCTACCTCGCTGTGCAGCACTGC